AGTGACACATCTAATGCCAAAAGAATTTCATTTCTCTCCCTTCAATTCCAAAATAACATCGTTTCCCTCCCTTCTCCATCCTCGACATTCTCAACTGCCTCTACCACTAAACTCACCTCCTCCACTGCCTTCATAAAGCCCCACAATGTTTTTGAACCTCCACCTATTCCTCTTCCACCACCTTATCTTTATCCTCCTCTATCACCAACACCACCTTCTACACCACCATTATAACCACTATTGTTCATTTTCACTTCTTGAAATTCTGCTCTGCCTCCTTGTTCCACTACATCATCTTCCGTTATACTAGTGGTACCACATGAAAACATGACTCCATTTCTATCAAACTACTTGTCAGTCTCCCTAACATCAAATAGTTTGGCCACAGTGAGTGCAACAATGACCTTTGTGCATCTTCATCCCACTCCCTACAAAGGTACTGCATAGAAGTAGGAAAACCAATCTAACAACAAGGATACACATAGAGACAATGAAGATATGAGGATTAAAAAATGAAATTTTGCTTGTCTTGGAAAAAGAGAGGAATCGAGAAAGAGAGAAAAATTCGTCAAAGCCTAAATAAAATTCACTTGTCTTAACAAGGACGAGAGAGAATAAGGAAGAAATGTTAAGTAAGGTGATTCTAGGAGGAGTTTGCTTTGTTTTGGGAGAAGGGACTAAGAATAAAGGAGAGAAGTTAGAATGTTAAAAAATTTTAAAAAAGGAAAACTCACAAAAATTATAATCATAAGTCTAAAACTAAATTAATAGTGAATAAGAGAATTGATTTTGTATAAGTCAATATTAGGTGTCAATAAGAAACATATAAGTACATAGGAGACATAACTTTAACTAACCAATAACAATAAATATTATTCAATTGACTATAATTGGACCTCTTAACAATGTGAATAAGACAATTGCCTTTACTGGGATATCATCTATATTATCAACTATATTAATAATCCTCTAATAGTCCCTGTAGTTGTCTCTAATGTGCTCAGGGTTAAAATTCTACTTTTCATGAATTATGCATTATATGTAGATTCTCCTCTAGATATTTTTGATGAGGCTAACCATTAAAGGATGGCTTACGATGGTTGAGATGGTAGAAGCAAGACTTTAAATAATGTTTATTTTGTATATAGTTTGCTAGTAAGATAATATCTAAGATTTTATATTTTCTCCTTTTATATATTATATTTGAATAAGAACTTTACAACAAAAAAGACATTAGAAAGCAGTTTTGCATCATTTTGGAGAACAATTGTAAATGCTCTAACAAGAATTGTTATATGATAAAGTCTATATCTTGGGGATGTTTTTTAGCCCACTTTCATATACTTGACCTTTACTTGATGAAGATTTTGCATTGATTTCTTTATTAATTATTGCAGTTTAGCATGAATTGATTACTAGTGAATTGTGAAAATATTTTGGTTACCATCGGAGAAAATTTGATTGAAAAATAGGCAACTAACAAGGCCATGCTTAGCAACCAACAGGGCTAACCTTGACAACAAACACGACCATGCTTAATATTCAACATGGGGTGTTTTGTGGACCAACACAATCATGCTTGATGGGTATACATAGCTATGCTTCAAGAGCTTTAGAACCCAATCGAAGGAATAATTAGCACTTGTAGAAGGACTTTTTCTTAGCTGACTTTTGGATACGGTTGGGAGGGGAGATCAATGGTAAAGACAAAAATACCTTTTTGAAGATCGAACAAGTGATCGAAAGCGTGTTTTGGCAATAAGGATTCTTTTCATCTCTTTTCTTTTGGAATTTTTCTAGTTTATGTTTCCCTCTTGAATGAATATGGTTTCTTTACATTTCTTTTGCCTATTTTGTTATGTGTAGCTAAATCTATAACTAAGGTTATGGTGAATCCTTTGCACACTTTATGTGATCCTTCTATTTAATTACAATTCAAGTTTCTTTTCAAGATTGGTTTTTGCCCGAGTGTATATGTTTTTATGCTAGGACTTGACTATTATTAATATCTCATAGTTGATTGCATGATAGGTAATCATGTCACATGTAGTTAATAGAACTATAGGGTAAAATGAGATAGGAAATTAAGTGGACCAAACTTAGTTTTTATTATTAAATTAGTTGTTTAATTAACAAGCTCCTAAGCTCTTTATGATTTTCTTCTCTTTTTATCTTGCATGAGCATTAGGAGTGATAGTTTAAGAAAAAGAATATTGACAATGCATGACCATTGAGTGTCAATAACTTTGGTATGAGTAATTTACGATCATAAGAAAACCTAAATTATGGTTAAACTAAAAGTAAACATAAAGAGATGTAAAGGAGAAGTTGTATGTCCTAGGTTCATATCAAATAGTCTTATTGTCAAAAAGTTGCGTTGTCATCTTCTCTTCTCATTACTGTTTAATTTAAATCTTCTATAAATTTCTTTTATTCTATTACATACTATTTTGGTTTAAGTAATTAAATCAATATATTCTCAGTAATTTTAAACAATTTATGTGAGACAATATTCTGAGAATTCAATTGAGAAACCCCTCTTATTACTTTTTGACAAATATACTTGCCTACGAACATTATGCAAAGTGGATGTACTAGAGAGCAGTCCACAACCTTTCTCCAAGTGTTGCTTAAAAAGTGATTTTTATAATTGCTCTCCAAAGTGCTTCTTTCAAACCGCGAATCTAAAATTTAAAATTTCTTCTCTAGTAAGTTCTTTTTATTACAAAATGAAATTGATTCATTGTTACTTTAAACTCAAGTTTATATATCTAAAGTTTAAAATTTCATCCTTTGTGAACTTTTTATTACAAATCAAAATAAATTCTTTATCCCGTTGAAACTCATGTTTATATTGTGTTAATTAAATAGTTCACATTCAAATGAATGAAACATTGGAAAACCAAAAAAAAAAAAGTTAAAATAACAAAAGGTTTCATTGTTAATAAAGAGAAGTGTAATAAAAGTACATGAGATTGTGGAAGGGACTAACCTTGTTAATATAGAGAAGACAAAAGAGAAGAGATTCATAGTGCTATTGTGAGTTGAGAGACACTTCATCCTTGTGGTGTTTATAAGTTATAAACTATTAAGGTATCTTAAATTTTTAGTTTGTGAGAATGGTTAGTATATAATTGCTCTCTAAATCCATCTTTGAAGTGTAGTTACACATCAATCTTTAGAAAGTGGTTATGTTATTTTGCTCTACAAGTGATTGCTTCAAAAGATCTAAAATGACATGGTGGAAAGAGAAAAATAGTTAGACTTTTTGTAAAATTTAATGTTTAAGTAATTTATAGCACTAAAACACTTATTGTAATATATGGTATGTTTTGGTTTAGTTGGTGTTTAATTTAATTTTAGCAAGGTTATGTAACAATGGGATTGTCTACAAGAGAGAAGTCTCATATATAATATCAAAATATGATTCCTTTTGATATGTAAAGAATATTTGTGAACCAATGACACGTAGAATTATTTGATTTTTGAAGAGTATGAAAAGAATATTTATGACATAAAAAGGATATTATCTTAGGTAAAATTTTAGTCAATTTTTCAACTATTGCTTTTAACAAAGTGATCAATGTCATTATCATGACCAAAATTTCTACAAAATCATTCATTTCATCTAAAAAATTCCATAAACCATCAATGAAAGTATGACTATACATTCTAGCATTGGGATATTCTTGGAAAATAAGTTTTAATTTTCTTTTAGACAAAGAAGTCATTTTATTGATCAATTAACTATCAAATTTTCAAAGACATAATATCATTAAAAAAATTTCACATATCAAGTTTACACATTAATTTTAAAAGTTCAAACATAGAGTTAGACTTTAATTAAAAAATTAATCATATTTACTCATGATCAAAGTTAATATTTAATAAATCAAGTACTATAACAAGTGATAGAATTTTAGAATAAAACTTAATTTCAACTTCTAATACTTATTTAGAGCACAAATCAAGTATTTGTAGAGTTAAGAGTTAAATAACTTTAAGAGTAACAACTTTTCAAACAACAAGAAAAAGAAATGTCCTCAAATAGAAAATTTTCATATTTAGCTTTGAATTTATAATTTTATATCTCTTTTTACCTTAATTTTAGTCAAAGGTGATGTTGTGATTAGTGACTCCTCCTTTTACCTTTCACATGTTTTTTCTTTCTTAAATATTAGGGTATAAGGTTGATTTGGTCTTAGGTGTTGGCAGGATTCTGTGGGACTTGTTAATTTAAAAAAAATTAATTTGAAATTTAGTTACTAGGCTTAGTGTTTAGTGAAGACATGTGATGCATTAAAAAAATACCTTAGATTTGACTTGATTTAGTGTGTATTCTTACTTCTAAATTTAATCTATTTATAGAAAATCTTTCAGATATAAGACAACTAGAATTTTTATGGATTTAAAACTCTTATTCCATTCTAATAAATCCCTAGGTAGGTTAAGCTAACCTTAGGTAAATACATTATTGCTTACTTTATTTTAGTGTTAAATCTTGACTAGGCTCTAAAGTTACAAGAAATTAAATTCTCCTACAATTATGAACTTCATTTATTTTTTCTAATTTTACTTTGAATTCTAACGTGCTCTTCAATTGAATTTTTAATTAAGTTGTCCTAAAATAAAAGCCTTATTTTTCTGTATATTGCTCCTTGTCCTTTGTATCCCTCTTTCTCTAGCTGCCTAAGCCATCCTCACCTTTATACATGCATTTTGTTTTTCTCTTACTCTATCTTATATCACTGTTGCAAAATTTGTTTCTATTCTATAAGATTTATGTTTCTATTTTAAACATACTAATTTTCTTTTCTAGAATAGTTTAAAAATAGATTAAATAAATTCTTAATATTAAAATTTCATTATAGTATTATCAAGTCTTAGAAAAATTCCTTCATATAAATTTAATAAAAATTCAAGTATAAAATAATTTAGTACACGGTTTTATGGGAGTGTTACACCCCAAAGGCACATAAAGAAACATTAATTAAGTATTTATTTAATAAACTTTTATTACACAATAAATTGTATCATAAATTAGATCAATTTATTGACATATGAGCTTACTAAAGTTACAAATTATTTTCGTAAGCTCTTTACAGACTCTTCCAAACACAAACAAAATAATCGTTTATTTTTCAAAACTCTAGCCTAAAGGTACAGAAAATAAACGATTATTTCATTAAAATAAATTTAGGAAAATATGGATAAATATTTTAACGCTGCGGTAAAGAAGCATCTGCTAGTTTCTTGAGAAATGAAACGACGTCGTCTGAAGAATCGAGCGTGTAGCGAGCATTTGTTCGGGTTCGTCCAACAGCACATGAGAAGTAGTTCTCTTTCTTAAGGTCAAGAACGTTCCATGATGATGCCTTTTCAGGAGATGGCTTGCGAGATGCACTGAAGACATAGTTATTATTTGTTTTCTTATCAGAATTTGAAACTTGACGTTGTGCCTTATTTTGAGATGGCTTTGATCCACTTTTGCTGGGTGGGATCTTCATACATTGTTTCTTCTCAACCGGAAACTTGACCCCTTCCGTTGTTACCTTACTTCGTGGAAGACCCACCCCAATAGAAGGAAGATCTGGCTCAAAAAATGAATAAATATCTTCATCCTGTTACAATTAATAAATATTAAATCCTGTAGTTCCAAATATTTAAGGTAAAATACACAAAATCTTCTTCGTTTTACACTTTCTCAAAATACCTGCTACTCTTTATTTTATACCTTTTCCATGTGGCAATGGACACAAAATAAGAAATCATTAACATTTTTTTTATTAAAATTTGTAACATGTATAATTAATGTATTATATTTTATGATATTTTATAACTTTAATAAAATGATACATGAACTTCCTTATGAGAGGATAAAATGATAAAACATACACTGCTACAACGAATTGTGATGTGAATAAGAGTGTAAGAATGCTTAGTGCAAAAAATAAGTACTTTAATTATTGAAATATATGATATGACTAAAATTAGTCTTCTAAATTTTAAATTTTAGTTACTGAATTTAACAATCATCCATCACTTTAGTCCTTTCTATGAAGAGACTTTAAAATTAACATCAAGTGCTAATTTATCATTTTATGATTTTTCAAAAGTAACTCATTTTCATCTTTGATTAATGAAAGTTTCGAGCAGAAACGTCCTTTCCTCTTCTTTGCTTTTTCTCGTTTGTCTTCTTCCTTGGCGGCGTCTTCTCCGACTATCACTTTTGCCTCCAACCACCACAAACTACCCTCCTTATTATTGACTTCACTGTTATTTGGTCAAAACGTCGCTAATCCTCTTCTTCCCTCACTCCCAAGCCTCACACCGTGATCGTCAATGTTTTCCCACCATCTCCTGTGTCTCCAACCACCACGAATCATCTCATGTCGTTGACTTTGTTGTCATTTGGCCAAAATGCCATTTACCCATATCCTCCCCCAAGCATTGCATCATGAGTTACATTGTCATTGTCAACATTTTCTCTATCATTGGACCAAAACGTCATTTGACATTCTTCCTCCCTCACCCCCAAGCATTTGGCTGGATAAAGTTGTTGACAGGTGAACGTTATTTCTACAATGGCAAGAGAACGCCATGGAAGAGAAGATGAAGCATAGGAAGGGACGTTACTGTTTTAAAATCTCAAAAGTCAAAGACAAAAATGGACAGTTTTTGAAAAATCATGTAATAATGTTATTCTGTGTTCTACTTGTTACTTAACATGACAAAATTTGATTCTTAATTTTAATGTTTCTAAACATTAAAGACTAAATTAATTGACAATTGATATTTAAAATTTTAATTTAAAAAAATTGATTTAAACAATGTTAAATATTTTACGGATTAAAATGAAGGTTTACCTAAAATTACGAACAGTAAAGTGTAATTTACCACAAGTTTAAAACTATAGAATTAAATGTATTATGGGTCACTAAAGTCTGTTTTTCATTTTTAAACCCTATAAAAATTCTTAGCAGATCAACGATAAATGAAAATTCAATTTACCTTCCCCAGGAAATGTCCAATGCAAAGAACATAATCTATTGGTGACGTCATGGATTTACTGTGCACTATCTCACCCAAAATGCGGTCAATAGCTGCTCCCTGATTAGAAAAGCAATTTAGAGAAGACATTTAATTTGTATGAAAAATTTCACACAACTTTGTAACACCAACAAGAGGTCACCTTTGTAACACCAACAGCTCGCACCTCAACAGATCGGCTACCTTGAACAACTTCAACTGAAGCATTAGAAATTGGACCTGTCCACAGATGCTGCAGCATGTCCCTTGCTTGAAGTCTCCCAAATTCAACATCTGGTTGAGATCAGAGGATCAGTGACCGAAAAGATAGCCGAAAAACTGAAACATATTCTTAAAAATTCAAGCACCTGCATATTTGTAATTCCATACAAGCGAAGTTTCCCTTTCTTCAAAATCAAAATGTGACCGAGGTGTTCTTTCTGTGAAGTACTCAAAAACATGCTGAAATGCAGGAGCAACAAAGTATGTCAATAACATAAAGGAAGCGGAATCAACAGAATTGAAACATCGAAATGAGCACCTTCACACTGTCAACCCATTCCATATTCAGATGCTCTGGCATTGTTGTCATCCATTCACCCTTTGAAGGAAGTAAAAACATTCCATTCTCTGCTGCCAACCACATGTCATATTCTTTGAAGTTCTGCTATAGGAATATGTTAAAAATGAATTGATATAATATTTTACAGAGAAAATAAGTAATGTGCCAAGAATTACATCATGCAGGACTTGTCTACCACTTCCACTGAGCACAACAACTGTGGTATTAGGATCACTGCATAGTGCAGTCAAGGGTTGTCTCAATTCTGGATGTACCTTAAGCTCCATTTCTTTAATCTGATCACCTGTTTTCTCAACTGGTTCAGTTAAAGTTCCACTGAATCCCTGCGGCGTGTATGGTTAGTTGAAAAGTAATTGTTGGTACAAATGCATAACAGACACCAAGTCATTATTTGATATTTGTGAAACATTATTAAAAAAAAAAAAAGCATTCAGTTTTACAATGATAAAGATTTGGCCTTAGTGAGTTGCAAACTCAAATTATGGAATTTAAACTCACATAGAAAAAGTCTGGTAACATCTGTATGTCTAACACATACACACATATATCGCATAACATTTGTTAATTATAAGCCACTCATGAACTTTTGATAATATCTCCTACTTATTAAGATTTATTTATTGTCATTATTGTTATAATTATTTGTCATTAGATCTATGATTATTAGAAGATAATCTAAAATATTATCTTATCTAAGTATTAGGATTAGACTCCTACATATACATATAAATTATAATGTACTTTCACAATACAATTCAGAATTTCAAAATGGTATCAAAGCCTCTGACCGTGGGGTCTCTGTGTCCGCACCCAAACCTTTTCTGCACACTTTTACACATCAAACCCTAGCCACCTTTATTGCAGTACCCAAATCCTAGCAGCTGTCTTCATTACAACATACATCGCACCTTCATTGTGCATTAGGTGTTTCTTCCCTAACCACCTTAATTATAGCATCTAAACCCTAGCAGCTGTCTTCATTACAGTATTCGCTTGTACCTTCATTGTGCTTAGGCATTTTCTTTCCTCTGCATCAGCCATTTTCCTAGCCACCATTTGCTTCACCACAAACCTCGTTCTGTTCGTCGGGACCTTCTCTGTCAGTTCTGACCCCTTGTTACCGTAGCTGTTTGGTGATTGTCTCTTCAACCTTTACAATTTCTTTGTTAAAACTTGTTAATGGTTCCCTAATTCCATTCTTGGGTCTGGATCTGACCTTGGGGAGGATGATTAGAGTTGCTAAGAAACACAAAGGGTTGTATTATTTTCAGTCACTACGAGAGCAAGTCCAAGACAAGGTTGGAAGAAAGGAGGTCAATTCCTCTAATCAGTCTTCTTCTCCCTGCCTTTTTCCTGAGTGACTTGGTTTGGAACATTCATTTCAATCAACTAGAAAATATGTTTTCTAAGGGATTGGCAACGTAGCGGCCCCAAGATCTTTCATGCAATTTGAGAATGATAGATATCCATTCTCTAGATAGGGAAAGTGTTGAGAATATTTAGATATACATGTAACTATACGGTAAATTGACAATATAATTCAGAATTTCAAGAATGTTGTGTGAATTAGTCTCACATGAAATGGGATGTTAAGAGTTTATAAAGAGATGAACCCATGTACTCATGGCCTTAAGGTTTTGGGGTTGTGTTGTGATATCCTACTCATTGTAAGGCTCCCTACTTAAAAACTCTCCCTACCTAACTGCGGTATTAGAGTTTAGTCGATCTAGGTGACCGGCTTACATAAGTAGATGAACTGCGACTGAGTGAGTCGATGGTGCGAACTCATGGTCAGTGTGAGAAGTGCACAGTAGAGGAAACGGTGACACTAAATGATCCATGTATGGTGTGAACTCATGGTCAGTGTGAAAAGTGTACAGTAGAGGAAACGATGACACTAAATGATCCACGTATGGAGGGTGAAGAGCCAAAAAAGTATTGTTAAGTGAACAACAGCCCACGTGATGTAGACCATGGATACTCAACCAAGTAAGTCAATGGTGTGGACTCATGGTCAGTGTGAGAAGTGCACCGTAGAGGAAATGGTGACACTAGATGATCCATGTGTGAAGGGTGAGGAGCCCAAAAAGTGTTGTTAAGTGGACGACAACCCACGTGATGTAGATCATAGATACTCGTGATAGAGAAAAACTTCCGCTATAGAAGGAGTCAAAATTAAATAGATAAGTTCACACTTAAGGGAGAGTGTTGGAATCAAGTGTGAATTAATCCCACATGAAATGGGATGTTAGGGGTTTATAAAGAGATTGACCCATGTATTCATGGCCTTAAGGTTTTGGAGTTGCATTGTAGTGTCTTACATATTGTGATGCTCCTAACCTAAAAACTCTCCTACCCAAACGTTGGGCTACCCACAAATGTCTAGTCCTGTTGGGTCCATCCATGCAGATGTCCAGTCCTGCAAATTTCACGCACCAGATGTCCAGTCCTGGGCAGGAGGAGAGTGTGTTAAAATGTCTCACATTAATTAAGAATAGACATTTGTGGATAGTTCTCTTCCTATGAGCTAGCTTTTGGAAGTGAGTTAGACTCAAGTCTCTTAACAAAGATAAACCTTCATCTAACAACTTGAATTTTGAGGATAGTTGGTTCATGATATAGTACCAAAGATCTATGACCAAATGGTTAAGATTTTTATATTTGCTGCCTCTTCTAATAAAAGTTGAATTTCAGTAGAAGGTAAGACAAGCCTGTGCAATGTCCATACTTCATAAAGTTATGGCTGATAAATCAAGATTTTGATTAGTTTTTAGTTAGTTTTATAGGATCTTTTTAATAAAAAAAGAGTAATTTAGAAGATAAAAAACTCACAAAAATGTATAGTGGTTCAAGTAATTCAAATTTAGTTTAGTATTTCAATTTGTTTAGAATAAATAAAATTTTTATGCAAATATTGATTGATTGAATTAGTTTTGCAGGAAATTCTAAGAGAAGCACATGAATTGTAAGCTTTTAAGAGTTCAAAAAGGGTCCAGTGTAGCCACTTTTAATGCAAAAAGTAGGCAAACTAGAGAGTTAAAGAGTAAAGCGTACTGGGTGTAGCTACTTTCATTGCAGAAAGTAAGCACTTCAAAGACTTGGAAAGGGAATTCCTAGTAAAAGTAGCCACTAAGTTATCTGAAAGAAATTCCATCCATATAGTTTCAAAGTTTTATGTTGACGAGTTTCATTCTTGAAAGGATCTCTCTAACACAAGTTATAGGTGTTGCAATCCCTTGAAAAATTTGATAGTGACAAATATAAAACATGTAAATGCCTCAATTATAATGTAAGATAAAGTCTTTCTTGCCTAGTGAAAGCATAATAAAATCTTCATGCTAACCTGCAGCTATGCATATTATAACTACTATCCTCTCTAGTCACTACATTTAGAAAATTAAGGTCATTATATTAAGAGTCTTTTGAGGTTGGTAGTCCTATTCCACCGGACTTGTTTTAGTAGCACTACACCAGTATTTCACTTAATTAGTAGGATAAATAGAATTATTACCACCTATATCCTATTATTTCCAATTCAATGACTACAAATAGGCACCAATCTGGCATTTTGCTTCCAAATACTTGCTTGTTCCACTGTTTGTTTCACTATGTGTACGTGTATCCAAGAAATGAAGAAAGAACTATCATGTAGGAAGAACTCAGATAAGCAGTAAAAGACAAGGAGGAAACAAAATGTATGCAGAGAAGTCACAAGCTTCATTGTGAGACAACATACCAAAATGAGCAATCGATTAGTCGACTGCAGATAATGTTCAATTGCAGTCTCAGTTGTAAGCCGGGGTGGACCTTCTCTTGTCCTTAGTTGTGCCTCGATAACAGTATCATTTAGTTCACTGCAATTATGCAAAGATTCATAGTGGTATCACAGCAAGAAATGTATTCTTATTATATATTTTGGTGGATAAATTACAGTCACAAATCACCTTGTCTTTCTACTATTCCTAAAGTACTGAAGTAAAAGTAAGCAATCATCATAATTAAGCATGAAACTATCTACAAAGCCTTGCGATTAATCTCAGGCAACAGGGGCTCTAAGATACAGCCAAGGCTAGGATTACAATTAGGTAACAAGTGAACATCTGCCAACATTTTAAATGAAGTGTATAAGCATCTAATGCTCTGAAAATATAAAATACATTTCATATTTTCTTCTGATTAATTAGGATTAGTAATAAATGCTATTTTCATTCCTTAAGATATGATTTTGGTAAACAGATTAATATAATCCAGAGACTAATATGCGTACCTCACAAAAGTTCCTGCCCATTCTTGAGCAGTGTGTGATTTAACGTGAAGAAAATTATGTTTATGTCTCTTTTCTCTTTCTGCAGATGGCATATTCAGAGCTCTAGCAATTGCAGCAGCAACTTCTGTAATGTTCCAAGGGTTAACAAGAATTGCTCCAGCACCAAGAGACTGTGCTGCACCGGCAAACTACAAGAAGCATACCAAATATCAGGCATCTGATAGGTTCATGAGAGTGTACAATAGAAAGAAGAGGAAGGGAATAGGTGGGAAATCCAAGAACTAGCCGTTTTAGTGGTTATGAGTTTATGACAACTGTAATTTTGTATTAGTTACCATTATAAATAGTCATATGATGGATTAGTAGAGTAGTTATGTTTTTTGTAATTGATAATTGGGAGGGGCTTGGAGAGTGGGGGGATAACTCTAGTGGTTATCAGTTGTAATTCCTTCACTCAATTCTAAATCACTATCACTTTGGTACTGGTTTGGGAACTAGGGTTTTCTTAATAAAATTCAGAAGTTCTTTTCAGTAATTTTGTACCAGTTTTATCAACTGGTATCAAAGCACTGATCTTAGTATTGTGGTGCAGCCAAAATCTATGGTGAATACAAGGATTGAGATCCTGGAGCGAACACTTCAGGAGGCGAATCGCGAAAGAGACCATCAAGAAAACGTGTAAAAAGATTGAGATTCAGATATACCATTTTCGTTGGGGAGGAGGCATATGGGTGGACTAACAGATTGGAGAGAGATTTTTGTTTGAAAAGGGTAACAGTGGAAGAACGGATGCAAGTGGTGATGATAGCAATGGATGGAAAGGCTCTGAATTGGTTTCAATGGTGGGATCTTGTAATCCAAATCTGACATGGGAGTCATTCAAAATAGTAATGGTAAGGTGATTTCAACAAAGTATGATGAAAATCCCGTTTGAAATTCTGATCATGTTGACACAAAAATGTACCATAGGGGATTACACAGAACAATTTGAGCTTTATGAGGGGTTCTTGAAGAGAATGGAACAAGATTATTTGGTGGGAATATTTTTAGATGGATTAAAGGATGACATAAAGGCAGAAGTGAAGCTACATGAACCAAACAATTTAGTAAATTTGATTACAAAGGCTCAAATGGTTAAAGCAAAAATTCAGACAGTGGTTAAAGTGGGGAAACAAATAAGGAATAAAGCTACTAACATGTACAGACTGTATTCTGTAACAAGAAGTTATTCTAGAGATTTGGGGTACCCAGCATCAACAGTTGTCAATAATAAAGGGAAGGGGAAATTTCCAGAAATATTTAACAGCAGGGGTAGTAATTATATCGGGGATAACAAAGAAGGGGTGCAGCATATCTGACGAAGAAATGCAAGAAAAGATGCAAAAGGGGTTATGTTTTTGTTATTATGACAAGTTTGGGCCCAACCATGTGTGTAGAAATAAACAATTACACATGTTGTTGGTAGAAGAGGAGACACCAAGGGAACCTGGGGAGATGATGGAGGAAAAAGAAAGGGAAGATAATGGAGAGGAAAGCAAGAGAGTAATGTAGCTATTAGTGTTCACCATGACAGATCTTACTTCCAGAAATTCTTGGAAGGTATGGGGAAGAATAGAGAAGGAGAAAGTAGTGGTCTTGATAGATTGTGGAGCCTCTCACAATTTTATCTCTGAGAAATTGCTACTAATATACTCCCCCATATGTGGTGGAGATTGAAAATGGGCACAAGGTAAAATGCTAAGGAGTGTGTAAGAAATTTATACTAGAATTGCAAGAATAAAGATTTAACAGGAGGTTTTAATATGATTTGGGAGGGGCCGATGTAGTTCAGGGACTAGAATATTTAGCTAGTTTGGGGTAGGCCAAGGTGGACTTTGGATAGTTGAAGCTAACTATTGGAAGTGAGAGTACAAAGCAATTTTTGTTAGGGGATCCAACCTTGTCTAAGACTGAAGTTTCGCTAAAAATTATGATGAATGAGCTGAAGGAAGGAGAGCAGGATATTTAAGTGGAATGGGTGCAAGAAAAAGAGAGTACATTTTCTCCATTTATTGTAGAGGTGCTAGAACTCTGAAGAAATCTTTTTAGACCCACAAGGATTACCCCCAAGGAGAAAACATGATCATTCCATCCATTTAAAGGAAGGAGCAACAATTCTGAATCTCAGACCTTACAAATATCCTCACTATCAAAGACCAAGATTGAAATTAGTGAATGACCTACCAAAAGCGGGACTTATTAGATCCGACATTAGTCCCTATTCAAGTCCAATAATATTAGTAAAGAAGAAGGATGGTGGGTGAAGATTTGTGTCAACAAGTTTCCAATTTCAATCATTGAGGAATTGTTGGATGAGTTGAGACGAGCAGCAAAATTTTCTAAATTGGATTTGAAATCAGGGTATCATCAAATACATATGAAAGAGGAGAATGTGGAGAAAACTGCTTTTAGGACACATGAAGGGCATTATGAGTTCTTAGTCATGCTATTTGGCTTGACCAATGCACCTTTCACATTTCAATATCTTGTGAATGAGATACTAAGGCCCTTTTTAAGAAAATATATACTTGTTTTCTTTTACGACATACTAGTATTTAGCCCCTCTGTGGAGTTGCATGTCTAGCACTTAATAGATGTACTTAAGGTGGTCACAGAAAATCAGTTGAAGGTAAATCAGAAAAAATGGTAAATCAGAAAAAATGCACTTTTGATTAGCGTAGTTTGGAATATTTGGATCATATCATTTCAGCCCAAGGTGTATAAGCTAATCCCAAGAAGGTTGAGCCAGTGCAGTTGTGGCCTATTCCAAAAGATGTCAAAAGTTTGAGGGGTTTTTCGGGGCTTAATAGGGTATTATAGGAGATTTGTGGAAGGATATGGTAAGATTGCAAGACCTTTGATTCAATTGTTGAAAAAGGAAGGGTTAAAATGGAATGAGGAGGCTCAAAAGGCTTTTGAGACCCCAAAAAATGTTTCTAAATTACTGATCTTGGCAGTTCCGGATTTCTCTAAACCTTTCACAGTTGAGATCGATGCATCAGTGAAGGGCTAAGTGTGGTATTATTACAAGAAGAAAGATCATTGACATTTTTGGAGTTACGCTTTGTCAAAAAGTTAGTTCAAGTTGTACAAAAGTGGAAACATTGCTTGATGAGCAGGCGTTTTATTTATTGTCACTAACTAAAAGAGCCTTAAATTTCTCACTAAACAGCAGTTGTTGACGGAAGAACAATTTATTGGTAGATCATAGAGCACATACAAACTTTGAGTTACGAGGGGGATGACTATATTACCTGGAAAGTTGGTATTACCAAGGCATTTTCTGCAAATTCAAGACATTATAAGGAAATTACATGCACCACCTACTGGTGGTCATGCTAGATATTTTAGAACATTTAAAAGAAGAGCTGGGGTTTTATTCTAGGAAGGAGAAAGGAGAGAGATCAAGGAGTTGTGATATAATGTGAGGTTTGCCAATGCAATAAAAATGAGACTTGCTCCTGCAAGGTTGTTATAGCCACTAGCCATTCCTACATAGGTCTGGTCAGATATATTGATGGATTTTATTAGAGGATTACCCAAGGTTAAAGGGAAGGACAACATCTTAATAGTGGTGAACAAACTCACCAAATATGCCCACTTTCTGGCCCTCACTCATCCTTACACTGCTGCTGATGTGGCTCAGCTTTTTGTGCGAGAAACCATTAAACTCTACAGGTTTCCCTCAACTATAGTCTGTGATCGGGGCTGGTACAAAGCTGAAATTTAGCACTGCTTACCACCCCTAAAGGAATGGTTAGACAAAGGTAGTGAATCGTTGTTTGGAGACTTATTTATGTTGCATGACAAGGTCGAAGCCTTAGAACTGCCCTGAATGGTTGAGTTCGGCTGAGATTGGTTCAACACAAATTATAGTGCTGCTAAGAAGATGACCCCTTTTAATGGGATCCTTCTTTGCATTTGAAGGGCGTTACTATTCCATCTAAAGTGGATAGCGTGAATCAGCAACAAGATAAGGTATTGAGAGATTTAAGAGGCAATTTGTGTAAGACATAAATTCAAAATAGGTTGCAGGCCGATAAACATAGGCCTAAGGTGGTTTGTCAAATGGGTAATTGGGTTTTCTTGAAATTGCAACCATACAGACTACAATCACTAGCTAATACATCAAATGCTAAGCTGAGTCCTATGTTTTATGGGCCCTATCAAATCTTGGATTGGCCAAGTTACGTATAAGTTGCAGTTACCTGAGCATAGTTGTATCCACCCTGTTTCATGTGTCTCTCCTCAAGCCAGCTGTGCATCCTGCTACCATGCCGACCTTCGCCTTCTATGTTGTTAGACCTGAAGGTAATTCCAGAACTACTGGATACAAGGACAACCTCCCAAGGTGAATCTACTGCCAAGATCCAAGAGGTTTTTCCAGATTTTCAGCTTGAGGACAAAGTGGCTCAAGGTGGCTTTTTTTTTTGGGGGGGGGGGGGGGGTGGTTTATTGATAGGTTCACGAGTATACATAGAAAGAAGGAGGGAATAGGTGGAAAATTCAATAACTAACTGTTTTAGTGGTTATGAGAGCTGTAATTTTGTATCAGTTATTGTTATAATTAATTATATTTTTGTAATTGGTAATTGGAAAGGCTTGGAGAGTGGGCTTCTCTCGAATAACTCCGGTGATCATCACTTGTAATTCCTTCACCCAATTCTAAATCACTATCACTTTGGTACTGGTTTGAGAATTAGGGTTTTCTTAATAAAATATTTCTGTAATTCTGTACCAGCTCTATCAGCATAATATCAACATAATAAGTATTTAGTTACCAAAATCAATATGTAAAAGCTTATTTATCTATAAGGAAGATGGAAGCTTTCTATACAACCATGTGGGAACTATATGATCCAGACAGGAATAAATGAAAAGAAACATCGATACCAGACAGGAATTAATGAAACGAAACATCGATACCTATCATTAAGTCAGACCAATTCAAATGGTAAAAATTTAAGCACAGTGCAGAGAGTTGTATTGTAAGAAGCTAGATATTGGAAGTAAAAGAAAAATATTAATTGATGTGATAAATTGATTATGATGGAGAGAGATAGTAATACAACTGAAATTTCTTCCCTGGTGTTTCAACCTAAAAGATAACTGAAATGAGAATACACAGACCCATTCTACCTTGGGATAAATTAAACTTTTATTTGGAAGAACTGATGTAGCCAGGATTGAAATTTTGACCACTTGGTCAGAGGACTCTCATACTATGATAAGAACCAACCCTTCTAAAAGCTCAAACTATTAAGATTCAACATCAGTTTTATATCTCAAGTATTATTGATAGTTTTATCAGGACCAACTCTTCCAACTTTTGAATTTATTCTCTTATTATAAAATTAAATCAACATGTCAAGACCAGTATTATTGACAGTCATAAAGGTACTTGAGATTGATTTTACAAAATGATGGAGAAATTAACGAAAATATAGAGAGGCATGAAGAGTTATTTACTATTGTAAAGTAAATATCAAGTTAAAAGGAAAGTTTTATCGCACTGCTATACGAATAACTATCTTATATGATAGTGAATGTTGGGCGTTAAAAGAATAACACAAAAAAAAAAAAAGCGGATGTAATAGAAATGAAAATGTTAAGATAGATGAATGGTCACACGAGAAAGGACATAATAAGAAATGATTATATATGCGGGAATATTGGAGTAAAACCTACCTATATAGTGGAAAAGATGATATCAAATTGTTGAAGGTAATTTGGACACGTTCAAAGAAGGCAACTGGAAGCACCAAGTAAGGAGAGTAGATGTCATGACTTTTAGTAGTAAAAAAAGGTAAAGAGAGACCTAGAAAAACATTAGTGGAAATTATTAAACGAGATCTGGGGATAAAAAATATATCGGAGAATTTGATTTTTAACTGAGTTCAATGACATATTGAGATCCATGTAGTCAACCTCACCTTGTGGAATACGGATTTGTTGTTGTTGCATAAAATTAATTCAACCTTATCATAGCCGGAATTTGACAAAGTGAAATAAAACATAAAATACTAATAAGATTTTGTAATTACTTCACTAAGAATGAGAACTCCTTTCTTTTCCTCTTGGCAGGCCACAAATTCATAGCTGACAAGATTCATTCCATCCCTCAAAGAGGTTACTAGTGCTACATCTGGTTAAGAAATAGAGTATAAATACATTAGAAGAAAACTTACAATAAAATAAACTGAATATTAGAAATAAATTTTAAAGCTCCAAAGATAATCAAGAATTCAAGAAAATGTGTAATGAACTAGGTATTTACATGTATGAGGAAGTGTCCTAGAGACTCCTTGATTAAGCTGATTGTCATTTAGCATTAAATGTACATATTTCAAATTGGCTATTAGAGGTTTCTTTCTAAATATCTTATAATCTATACTGCATGACGTTCTTCATTTATTTAAATTCTCAATACCTAATAATATATTTCATAATCTTAACTCGTGTTTTAAAAGTTTTGCTGATATGTTTGCTACTCATTTACATCAGCATTAGTTCTACGAGAAGATGCATAATGCTTAGCATTTAGGAGCAAAACACGGCTGTAAAGAAGTGGATTTTGGGATCATGCCCTACATAAAAAATGTTATTCTATTTTTCTCTTTGCAAATTTTGAGTTTATTCATATTTGTTTTGTATAATGATTGGGTTCAAATACTGAAAAACAATTTTTTTTCTTTTATAAATGGGTATCTTTTGCACCATAGAATAAAAAAAATGTCATAGAGAATGAAAAACATATTATTGGGAGAAAAATAATAAGAACATAAATAAAGAAGTTGAACTGGATCATGATGTAGAAAGCTTTACACCAAGAATGAAGTACAAAAAGCTTTAGATATAGAATCCCTAAGATTTCCCTCTTTAAGTTCATAATAAACAAAAAGATTTAAAAATCATTAATAAAAGCATGCCGATAATCATCTTTCAATTTTAGATATAGAATCCATAGGATAGCTCTCAGTCAAACTAAAAAAAAATGTAAAATCGAGTAAACTTTACCAGTAACAGCATACAAAGCACATAGGGCATGAAAGTCAAGTGAGCGATCCTTCAAAAATGAAAATTCATTAGATTATCAAGCATAGAAAAGTCTTCATCCAATTCAATATTATTAATTAATATAAATGACAGATTTAAACGAATGACTAAAGATCAGAATAAGAATATAAAACTGTTGAATCTCATTTGTATATGATATCATGACCAGTATAACATTAGAAATTCATAGCTATGAATAAAACCTCTATCCTAGGTTGTGGTACAGTTCATACTTAAGGAAAAAGAAAAACTTGGTTTCAAACCAATATGTTGTGCCATCTGAGATTAACTTGATCTTTACTCTTCCATATCTCAAATCTAGATACACACGCATTAGTAATTTTCAGTAGTTAATAGGAATATTAGATCTTGATTCAATTCATATCAAATCAACTGTTCTATAAGTTTTACAGTTTCAATTATTTTCAAGTGTGGAAATGTGTTGCAGTTTTATCTAGCATAGTTTAAAAATTTTTTGAATTCAACAAAGGTTGTTTCACAGCTGTTTCACAAGAGCTGCATGCAGATACCTCAAAAAACCTGATTACTGTCCAACATAGCACAAACTATCCCACAGATCAAATGCTGTTTTAGCAATTCTTCATACATTTGTTTAGAACAAAGGATGAAGGAAAAGTTTTGGCAAAAAGGAGTGAAATACAATATTAGCGGGTGTTTTATTTTTCATTAAATCAGGAAACATAGAAAGGAAAACAGAAACCAAAGGAAACCTCCTGTTTTCCCTCTCCTATTTTTTTTTCCTAAACTACAGGTATCCTCCACTCAATCCTGTTCAAGCCAGCTAGGACCACTATGAGAGGCAAAACTCTCTCTCCAAGTATTTAACACAATTACATTCATTGAAACTCGAACTCAAGACTATAGGTTAAGTTGAAACAACCCCCTTTCCCCTCTTCTATTTTATTTTTATCTAGACCACAAGTATTCTCCAGTAAAGGCAATCATGTTTGAGTTGGGTTAAGACCACTGTAAACGGAAAGCTCTCCCTCTAAGTATTTCTCCTCTCCTATTTGATTGCATATAAGTGACAGGAATTAAAATAAAAAATTGAAAAATTACATATACAACAATAGTTTATTGTTATTGGGCATTTTAAGGGGGATATTAATTGTGTGTAAGTGTGCTTTAAATTGTATTTTTTGAACTTTCCATTCCAAGGAGAGATTGATTTTGACACAGTGATGTGGACACATTTATGGGTCAACAATACCAGAAAAGGCCTTACAGATGAAAATCTCCTGAATTTATTTAAAATTTGTTTTATTTTATTTGATATTATTTCCTTTTTAACTGTTATGGAATCATATCAATTAGATTTAAGGGTCTATAAAAAAACTGACTATATTAAATGAAAAGGTAAGCAAATATATTTAGAATTAATTATCTCCAGTTTATATTCACTATAGGTCGTAAGAAGGATTGTTCCACATTTTCATTCTTTCCATATGGCCTTTTGTTTAACAAGCAAGTTATGTGACAGCTAATTTTTATTGCCCCCAAAGTCAGTCTCTCCCTTTTCATGCCATTCCAAGGAAGTTAGGATATAAAGATAGAATGAGAGTAACTAACAAAATTATGCACAAGTAGGACTGTTGAATTAGAATATCCAATGAAAAAAGATGAGTAAGTCCTTCTATTATATCTGATTATCACCAGGTTAAGAACATACCAGGTGATGTATAGGAACAGTAGTCAATGATCCAAATCTGCCATTGATGCGACCGACAATTTCATGAACCTGGCTTGTAAGCTTTTGATCTATAAATATGTATGAAATAAAGTTGATCAGTTATAATTCTGAAGCCAAAAATAAGACTATATTTCAAAATGTGCAGAAAAATGAGTACATGCTTGACATGCCAGTATGTATCATCCCAAAGTTAAGTATTTCAAACAAATTGAAAGAGCGAAGAGATCAGCAATACCTAGTATCTGTGACATACCCATTAAGTACAAAAAAAAATGCAAAGTGAATGTAGCACAATAATATTGCTGCAAACATATTATAATGATTGTGAACTCAATACTCAATAAAATATTTTTCCATTAATGAAAAATTAATACATTGATTTCAAAACTCAACCAAACACATGAAAAATATTAGTGGAAAAATTAATATTTTTCCATTAAAGTATATGTACTTCTCTAATGTACAATAGATCTCAGAAATCATTCCATTAATTTTTGCACAATAGAGTTAAGGCCTTTGACTTAGGAGGTGCAGTCCCTCGAGACCTGTTTGAGTGTGTGTGTTTTATTCAGTAATGTTGAGTGTTTCTTCTTGTATTTCTTAATAAAGATACCAGTTTCTAACTTTCTATCACATACACTCTGGAACATCTGTTCTTGTTGGCACAGCAATTTGAAGCAGAACGACTTTATCACGCCAATAAGCATTTTCTTCCAAAAATTTCTCAAATGCTAGAATTTTCTGAGGGATTCCTTTAATCATGTCCAGGCGATCAACACCTAACATTACCTGTCAAGACAGATAAACAAATAAAAAAGAAAAACAATTTCTTATTAGTATCACGCAATGAGAGCATGTTAAATGCTTGCCATTGTTGATCAGTGACCAACTCGCCTAAAGCTTAAGCTATTAAGTTCTCATCAATAGATTTACATCAAACATCCCCCTCATGCAAGAGCCCTTTCGGGTTAAAGCATGGAGTTAGACATTTCATAAGGCTACTTGTGCTGAAACTCCACACTTTTATTTAGATGCAAGCATGACAAGGATTAAACTTTTGAACACTTCGGGATAGAGATTCAGATACCATGTCAATGACTAATTCTCCTATAGGCTTAATCCGTTACCAAAAAGACTCATGGACGGTTTTAAATCTAACAATGATAGTAGCTTTCTGTGGACCAATAGATTTGAAGAAGGATTAATGGCATTATAAAAGTTAATCTGCTAAGACTATCAGCCCTCTCGAATTAACAATAAGAACATGAGTTTACATCTTTTATATTAGCCAGAGATGAACAACTAAATGTAGCCCTACAATACAAACCTATATATTGGTTGCATAAAACAACCAGTGCAATTTAAATCATATTACGAAGATATTTCAGAAATTAGGCTCCCAAAAAATAAACAAATAAAAAAATAAAGCCTATCATGAGTTATTAATTAGTAAAGGATATACGAGTAAGAGGCAGAGTTGAATGATGATCAGTAATTGTGGCTGTGTTTTGTTTAGAGAAAGGGCATTCTATTTAATTTTCCATGCTTTTATGAGTAAAAATTATAAATACAGTTTGCCATGGTGAGCAATAATTTCGATGTTTTAAACATCATTTTTTTCTTCCCTTTCAATCCAATCAGTTTTCATCAACATCATCTATATTTTATCTTGACAATCCTTAGAAGTTCTGCGTTATGTCAAAATAAGAATAAAACACTTAACCATAAAGACTGAAAACCAAGTATAAATCTAAAATAACTCCAAAATTATTCGGAACAAGTAAAATAAATTACAAGATGTACAGAAGGTGTTTACTACAAAGTAAAAGATGCACCTTTCTGCCTTTAAATCTTTCTTGTAACTCTTTGATGTGATCTTGTACCGGAGGAAGGTCAAGAGCACGTATAAATCGTTCTGAGTCTATCCCAATTGGAAACTGACATTCAAGGGAAACATAATTAAATAAGAAATTTAAATATTGAGTTCATTATGGCAATCGATTAAAGCTTAAACTGTTTTTTTTTTCTCTCCTCTTTTAATAGGTAAAGTTTGGCGTGAAAGTTTTAAAGTGTAAACAACTGTTCAAATGACTAAATAAGAGTCAGCTTGTAGACAAAGTTTGGTGCACATACTGCAGCAACTCGAGTGAGCTTCCCTTGATACTCAACCCCATAAGGAGTACCCTCAAGTCCAAGTATTCGAGTACAAGCACTAACAAAATGTCTTGCATAATCGTAAGTGTGAAAACTGCACAAGAAAAGTTACACGTACGGAAATCAAAACAAGAACAATCATAGAAAAACGAAAATGATTAAACCAAAGAAGACACACATTATATAAACAAATAAAATTGTAAGAACCTAAAAGAAATATGATATCAAATTAAAGAAATGTTAGAACATGCAGAGTCAACTTAAATAGTTGAATTATCGAAGCAGTTACCATTTGAACAACTAATAAATAGGTAGTAATACTCCCAACAGTTCAAAACTTGTACATTTTTCTATATAGTGTTATAAATTTAATTTAGCAGTATGTATTCATATTCTGTCTACTGTCTTATACTTTTATTGGTTTAGTGTCACTCTTAAAGTTCCATTCAAACACACTTTTGTATAGGCATAGTCATGATTTGACACTACCAGGACAGTGAACTCCTTTAATTCAGATGATTTGCAGTCATTTTGACCATAGGTTTTACCAGCAGCCCTCAAAGAAGCTGCTAACATTTAGACAGCAGTCAATAGTTTTAGCAACACAAATTGGGGCAACTATGAGGTGACTGCAGTTGTTAGTTTTATGTATGTATACAGGCTGATTAGTCGGAAAGGATACTGTTTGAAAATATCAACAATATTTGCAAGAAAGGATCAAAAGAAGGGAGTCAAGTCCCCTTCTTTACAAACAAGATGTACTGGGGCATGGCAACAAACATTTATAGCACCATCCTCTATATCTTTGGTTCTAGGAAACTGGATTTCATATCAACTGCAGTTTTGTCAGCCAAATCAAGGCTGAGGATAGAAGGTTAAGTGCAATTCTAGGAAACTTGATAAACTAAGCTAGTGGTTTATTATAAATTGCCCAAAAAGCAATTGATGCTTAGTATAGAAAAGAGAAGAGGTGTCTGAATCTTGTTGTGTATGAGAGGTACACATGTGTGCAGTATTTACAGGTAAAAATTAGGGTATCAAAATCAGTTACAAATCTAATCATATACAATCAAATCTCCTAATAAAGATAATGGCTATCCTAATTACAATAACTGTTATTTTCAATATCAACTCATATTAAATATGTTTTCTGACACTTGGAAAACATTAATAGGCAGAGTTTAATGCACAACATGTTGTATAGCCACCCAAAATGTCAAATGCTCACATGAAACAAATTTATTACAACATGACCAATAACGGTATCAAACTTAGAATAGTGATATCAAAGCCTGATTCTCCTAAATGGAGGAGCCCGTTGGTACTTACCCAACTAAATCAGCAGCAAGAACAGAATGCAGGAGCTCTGAACGAGATGGCAGTGTCCTGTGAATTTCAGAAGATGGAAATGGGGTGTGGAGAAACCACCCAACTTTCATTTTTTTGTTATGATTCTTTAAACATTTGGGAAGGAACATAAGATGGTAATCATGGCACCAAACAACATCACCCTCTTCATAGTGCTTGTTCACAACATCAGCAAACATTTGATTTGCTTTCTCGTATGCCTCAAACTGAGACTGGAAACTACGTGTGGTGGCAAGGCGGTCTTCTTGTGGTAGGCCAAGGTAATGGAATAGGGGCCATAAGATGTTGTTGCAATAGCCATTATAATATTGATGAACAATCTCCTCATCAAGAAATACAGGGATACACCTCTGAAATGCATATAGCAAAAATGATGAGGACAAAAATTTTGATATATTACTATCGAATTTACTAATCGTGCCTAACGGCACGTTAAGAAAACAAAAAATAGTATGTTTATATCGAAAATTGTAGCATTTATTGTTATCCATGCATTGAATTCTGGATATCATGTTACTTTCGACAAAAAAACTTAACATACATAGGTTCTTATAGTGTCTCCTTGAATACACATTAAAAAATTCATATATTACTAACCATAATTTCTTTCACTAAATACAATACACTGGAAACAAGAAAGGTAAATACTATGTCGCATATTAATAGTTGCAGAATCTACTTATTGATAGAACAAAACTTAAGCACAGTATGGTAAAGACTTCTTTTGTCGTTCGTCTATCAAAGCTAGTTAAATATAAATAGCATGAAAATTACGTATGATATTGTCTATATCTAAATTTTGTCCTATTATTTTTCTTTTTTCAAAAATTTTGTTCTTTAAGAATACCTTTTCAGCCAAGGCTTTAGTAAGTGCCTTCTGTCCAATCTCATCTGGCACGTTGACACCGGCCCATCCTATCCATCTTGCCTCAAACTCCTTCACACCTTTGTTCAAAAAACTCAATACGTCACTAGATAAAGAGAGCGACGACACCTCTGAATAATGAGCTTAAAAATACTATTGCCATTTTATATGTTCGGGAAAAAAAAACAATTACACTGTTTAAAGAGAAAAGAAATTATGCAAAACCAAATAATTCAATCATTCTATTAAAATTATTGGATAAATTTCAATTTATCCTTATTAGCTGATTCCTCTATGGCTACACACAATGAAAACATTTTGCTTATTTTATTTAAAATCTCTAAATGAGCCAACGAATATTAATATTAAAAAAAAAACAATAAACATTATCTTATACTTATAACTGAACAAATAATTAAGAACAGAGGTAGTATTTATTTACTAAAATCTTAGCACACTATAGCAAATTTTGATAAATTTATTTTTTTCTATAAATAACTTATACAAATAACCCTTACGCAAACCGAGGGAGCAGACATAAAAGGAAAATATACCCTTGACACAACCAATTATATTAAACATAGGTGGAATGGATGATGAAAAAGTAAGAGAAACTAAAGGATATGAAAAATGATGTAACAAAAAAGAAAAAGAAAATATAGATGAAAAAAAAAATGGAAGAGTAAATAAGCATAATAATAAAACAGTTGAACATAAGAAGGATGTGACAATTGTTCCAGCAGCAACAACAACAACACGATCACGACTTACCTAACAGAGCGCTGACGAGGCCACCGGCACTTATCTCCAAAGACCATGAATCCTCGCCTTTTCTAACTGCCGACACAGGCAACCTATTAGCCACAACCAATAGCCTCTGTCTAAAACCCTTCCCATCTTCCCTCTCACACCCTTCTCCAACCCCTTCACCAACCACTTCACCCAATTTCTCCTCTTCTCTCAACCGCACCTGCTCCTCACAACCACCCTCTGCACCAACCCCAATCCTATTGCTATTATTCTCCCCTAACTCATTCAAATGGCATGCCCTGCTACTCTTCCTCAATTCTCTCACTCTCAGAAGCCGCTCTACACGACCCGGAATGTGGTTTGAGTTACCGTTATACTTGTTCCCAGGCATAAGCTCACCCTGCACAGATCAAATTTCAACTCCGTTTCCCAATTACAGAAGAATATATGTATAGGCTCAGTTTACTTGGCCCATTATATGAACAGCATGGCATTTAAATGGAAGCGACAAATGCATTGAGGAGTGAGTGACCTGGGAAAGTAGCGTTAAGAAGAAGCGAGAGGGAATCGTGTCCGCGAAAGTGGGGTTGTGATTCAGCGAGTGAGGTCAATCTTTGGACAGCGAGTTAACAGCTGTGAGGGAAGGGAGTGAGTGGGAAATTTGCAGAATCTGAATGGCAGAGAGTTAAGTTAATAGCAATCACTTCGAAGAAAAAAAAAAGCGAAGAAGTGGAATCCTCGTGTAAGCTTTTTAAGGCGCCTTCAAGCATCACAGCCATGCAGATGACACCCACCTATACTAGTTCAAAATCCGAGCCAAAACTTTTTATTATTATTATTTCACCATTTTTTTATTTATTAAATAAAGTATTTATTTTAAATCTTTTGGAATCTTTTATTGTTTATAAAAAAATTAAAATAAATATCAGTTTGTAAAATTAAAGTAATGATATTTATAATTTGAAGAATTTAAAATCAAGAGTTTATTTTTTATTTTGTATTACTTTAGAGGGGGAAAAAAGTATTTTAAAATGAGAAAAAGTTAACTGCAATAGTTTTATATATTTTTAGTTATTATTTTTAACTAAAAATAGGGTTTGATTTTGATAATCCTAGCAATAGTTTTAACTATAGCATTAAAAATACATAAAGTGTTGCAAGTGTGCTTCTTCCATTCTAATGCATGTTTAGTTTAACTTTTTATTTTTTAAGATGAATAATAATTTTTCTAAAAGAATTTCAACTTAACGTAAACTTAAAATTGCAGAAACATAGACTTTATCAAAAATATTTTGTATTATATTCTATAAATTTCTTAAAATAAAAATAAAAGAAAAATAAAATTATTATTTTATAATTAAAAATAAAAATAATTTTTTTCAAATAATTTAAATGTTTTACTTACACTTCTAAATTTAGATCTTTTATTTACACTTCTAATTATGTAATATTTTCATTTACTCTTTGCCTACCTTTAAAAGATTTATAAAAATATTTTTTATTTGTCTTTGATGTCTTGATTTAAAACTAAACTTTTTTATTCTTTATTTTTAATGCATTTTACTATTTCTCTTGTTTCATTTTTTACATTTTGATACATTGACTAATTTATAATTAATGTTATAATATAGTATTTTAATATGAATAATCTATTATAACATTAAATATAAATATTTTATTAAAATATTCTTTTTTCTTTTCATGTTACTATTTATCCAATGACCAAATATTGATATACTCTTTTGTAACGAGAAATAGGTGGAGTAATATCAAGCCATTGTAATATTGTTTATTTCTGACAGTGACAACATGAACAACATAAAACAAGGGAAGAAAACATGATGGAGGCTGAACAATTCCAGGTGCTATATCTTTCATCAATCTTTACTACTACTCACCAAATTTTAATTGAAACACTGTTAAACACGTGTTTAATAATTTTTATTAAAATACTTTTTTTAAAATATATTTACACCCTGATAACAATCTTTTACAAAAAATCAACGACTTAATATAATTTTCATAAAATTCTAAACAATTGTTATTTGGAACATTGTTGTGTTCTAAGCATATATGCTTTGCTCACGCAAAAATTACTTTCCATGCATGTCAAGACGAGATTTTAAAACTATTCTAATAATGACAAATGCTTATCTTTTTCATGAAAGTTTTTTGAAAACTTAATTAAAAAAAAGTGTATAATTAATTAGAAAAGGTATATTAGTAAAAAAAAAAAAAGTTGAGGTAGATATTTAATAGTGTTTTAGTAAAAAATTTAAAATAATTTAAAGTTAAATAATGTTTAAGTAAAGTTGAGTAGAAATTTAATTTTTTACAGAACGAAGTTATATAATTTAATATAATATTTAAGTAAAGTTATATGAAAAAAATATGATATTTTGTATCAATTTATTTTATTACAATGAACTTATAAAACTAATGTATGTATACAAGGAGTGAGAGAGAGAGAAAAAAAGATACAATTTTAATACTTTTTTTTTAAAATTATAATTATGAAAATTCATAATTTTTAAAATTTGTTGCTTCATATTAGAAAGAAAAAAATATCATATATAATTATTCAAATTATAAAAAAATTGTTAATCCTGAATTCAGTCATAAGAGGAAAAAATAAGTAAGTAAAAGTAATAAATAATTATTAAAAATTATGTAATACTTTAAAAATATAAGTGTGATGAATATTTTTAATTTTAGAGCTTAATTATTCAATCTTAGAAAATGAAGTTAATAAAATTAGAATTGACGTAAATAAAAATAAAATTTTAAATATTTAATAATTAAAATTTTTAGGAAGATCATACATCTTAAAACGGAAGAAAATAATAAGTTTGCATACTTTGTCATATGGATAAAAAATATATATTAATTAAAATTAAAATTTCATTTTAATAAGGAGAAGAATTAGTTGTAGCCACTCTCATTGCCAATAGATATCATATTAGTTATTTTGTTATGTATATTTATTTTCAAGTTGTTATTATATTTAATATTAAATATAAATATATATATATTTTAATTATAAATTTGAAAAAAATACTTGTGTTCAAAATATTTTAAAATAATATTTTTTAAAAATTAAATAGTATAAAAAAATACTTCAAACAAAAGGGAGGGATATTTTTTTGAATTAATTTAACTGTATAAAATAATCGCTACTATATCATTTTATTTTATAAGATTTTGGTGCCTTTATCATTAAAAAACTAAACCTACATTAAATATTTTTCCACATTAATTATGAGCCAATTTTTCACTTTTTCCTGCAGAAATAAATATTTTAATTTTTGTAGTTTTAATAGAAACCCTTAAAAGCCAACTACATAAAATTAACACTTGCTATTTTTATAAATATTTATGAATAATATTTACTGTAAATAAATTAATTTTATTTAAAAGATATTTTAATTTCAAAATCAAAGAAAAATATAAAATTTAAAAATATGGTCAAGTATTTTGTTCTCCTGTTTAAACTAATATTATAATATTTTAATCATATTATTATATTATCTTATGTATTCTTTTTTATACGCTGTTAAAATTATAAATCTATTTTAGCAAGCAATTCATTAAAAATTATACTTAAGTTTTTGTGGTAAGATTTGAACTCACCTTTATATAACATAATAATAATAATAATTTGTACTTGTTTGTTTTTTCCTTCAACGTGAGTCTCTTTCTATTGTACGCGTATCATGGAAGACGGTTTTTGAAAAGTTAGATCGTAGAATGGGTGGCATGGCATGCATGGAAGGAAATTCAGAGAGTGCTACGTGTGAGCGCACGTAAACTCCATACCTGACTGTGAGGAACGGAAAAGAGCGAGCTCTTCTCTCACCAACTACTAAATTTCTTGTCAGATTTTTCGTGTCCCCTTCAGGTATATCAATTCTCCTTCTTCAATTCAATCTTACCCATTTACGACTTTTAAATTGAATACACAGAGGGTTTCGTTCTGAATGGGAGTTTTAATTTCATTCTTCCTGAAATTGAGTTCTAATCCCTTTTGTGTTTTACCTAAATTGAGTGTTTCTAATCTCTAAATAGCCTTTTTGGTCTCTATAGATTCTCAACACTCTAACAACAAATTCTGGAATTTTATAAATAGGAGGAAGGTTGTGAATCGTAGAGGGAGAGCATTTTTCTTACTTTGTCTATTTTGTTATTATTTTAATATAGCTTGATAGGTTGTGTCCATAAGCATTGTGCTCATATAGGAATTGCTTTAATCTAATTAGTTTATGTTAGGCTTGGTTTAGTATTTGGTCTCTAAGAAGCAATGTGTTTCTAGATCTTCAAGTCACAATGGATGTGAAAACAAAACGGAGAGTTGATGTAGACAATGGTGATGAAGGAGAAGACTTAGTTCTAGCTACTCTCGTTGCCAATGGAGATGATATTAGTCCTCTTGTCAGGCATGCCTTCGAAATGGGGCGCCCGCAGGGGCTCCTACGCCAGCTGAATTATGTGGTGAAGAAAAAGGAAGCTGAAATTGAGGATATGTGCAAGACCCACTATGAGGAATTCATCGTTGCGGTTGATGAACTTCGTGGCGTGTTAGTTGATGCTGAAGAGCTCAAGAGTGATCTCCAAAGTGATAATTTTAAGTTGCAGCAGGTTGGCAGCACTCTTCTTGTCAAGCTTGAGGAGCTTCTTGAATCTTACACTGTCAAGAAGAATGTGACTGAAGCTATTAAAATGTCAAAGAACTGTATAAAAGTGTTGGAGCTCTGTGTCAAGTGCAACAATCACATTTCTGAAGGCCAGTTTTATCCTGCACTGAAAACTGTGGATTTACTTGAGAAGAATTACATGCAGAATATTCCTGCCAAGGCTCTCAAAAAGGTGATACAGAAAAGAATTCCTTCCATAAAATCTCACATTGTAAAGAAAGTATGCAGTCAAGTTAATGAATGGATGGTCCAGATACGGAGTTCCTGTAAAATAATTGGGCAAACGGCAATTGGTCGTGCTGCATCGGTTCGTCAGAGGGATGAAGAAATGCTGGAAAGGCAGAGAAAAGCTGAGGAATTAAATATTTCAGGAGTTGATGATCGGGCTTATAATTTGGTGGTTGAAGAAGGTGATGAAGATTCTGCTATGAAGTTTGATCTCACGCCTCTTTATCGTGCTTGTCATATTCATACTTGCCTTGGGATCCCAGAGCAGTTTCATGAATATTACTATAAGAATAGATTGTTGCAATTAAATTCAGATTTGGAGATATCTTCAGCACAACCTTTTGTTGAATCATATCAGACATTTTTGGCTCAAATTGCTGGGTACTTCATAGTGGAGGATAGGGTTTTGAGGACTGCCGGGGGGCTCCTGGTAGCTGATCAGGTTGAAACTATGTGGGAGACTGCTTTAGCTAAAATAACATCAATGTTGGACATGCAATTCTCCCATATGAACTCTGCCACCCATCTTCTCCTAGTTAAGGATTATGTCACACTTCT